ATTCTTCGGATCCTTCTTTGACAAGGCCATCGGTCCTATGGTTGGGGATGAATTTGGAAACCAGTCTGTTCAAGCAAGGATGGTGTGGCGGCGACGGCATCCTCGTGGTGGACCTGTGTCCTCGGGCTCCGCCGTTGCGACGGCGTTTGCTCCAGCTTCGGCGCGGAGCTTGGGAGGTAATCCAGGAGCGGATGCAGATTGTGGTATGCATCGACGACATCTAGAAGACGGAACATGTGCTGGGTTCGTGGTTCATGGATGGCAGGTATGGTTTCCTTCCGCGACGTCTTAGTCGCGACGGGGTGCTAGATCTAGAGTTCAATAGCGTGTCCAGGGTGTTGCCCCGGTCTGATTCGTTCAACGGTAAGGGCTTCACTTTTGGTGAGCCACTTTGAAGGTCCGCAAAGCTGCATATCAGGATGGAGCCGCGTCGAGCTCGGGTGAGGAGGTGATCCATCATTCTTTTCTTCGGTGGCTGCTGCCGTGGTGCCGGAGGCAGGTGATGGGCGTTGGTTTCAAGCTCAGAGATGTTATGTTATCTTTTCAGTTTTGTCATGTCGGTCTTTACGTGACTTGTACTTTAATCTTTATGATATGAATAGGACACGTATTACCATGCAAAATGCTCGCTTTCATCTCCACCTTCTTCCCGCGACCCTTCTCCCCCAACTCCTGCATTAACTCAGTCAAATCAAATCTTATCAAAGCCAGAACTAAATTAGAACTTTCCTTGCCTCACCCTCCCTATACCCCAAACCAAATCAAATATTATCAAACCCCATCTAAATCAAAACATTCATTGTCTTCCCTACACATAGTCAAATCAAAAACAGATCTTACCAAAATCTTGAATATGATGGGTGTCATATTTATGTCAAACACGTTTGGTGTCTAGCCACTTAGACTAGCCATAGTGGAAGTAACTTCAGCAGTAACTTCAAGTCCAACTCAGCAAATTTGTCTATGTGGCAGTGAGTTAATGAAGAGAGAGGTAATAGCTAGTTACTGTAACATCACATGTCCCAATGCAATATGAGTCTATAACCTAATAAATGAAGCTTTGCATTACACCACACCTATGTTAGAGCATGGTTAATAGTATAGCCAGCTGCTGGCTATAAGCCAGTGCCATGTCATCTACAGTCCATCTTATAGCCAATGTGTACAATAGTAGATTAAAAGAGTGTACTACTTTTTTATTATGTGACCCACCTTTCATTCTCACAAATTGCCTTGGAGCATGTGCTAGAGCTGACTCTTCACGAATAGCCCGCTTACATTTTCTTTCCTCTTTTCTTTCCTCCAACTAAGCAGAAATATACTGGTTTATTTCTTATAGCCCGCTGACTCAGCTCTATTGTACTTGCTCTTAGTACCCACTATGAAGGTAGTAATATAGTCTAGGGATATGTGTATGTTACCCTCCACTGTGGCTAGTCTTGGATATGGATGCCTCTGTTGCAATAAATGGGTAAATTAGCTAGTAACGTACAATATTATACTCACTTTGTTCCTTTATACTCACTCCGTTCCTTATAGGTTTTCTAATAAAATTGCATATTGTAAAGTGCATTTTTTTAATTCCTCATAATTCTCATGTTAGCCCTCCAGAAAATGGTAAGTATCTCTTTCTTGATTGTGTGTATCTCTCATTGTAGAAAAAGAAGGAAAGTATCTGTCTATCAATTACATGTATCTCTTACTTTCCTGGATTAACTGATTACTTACCACTAATCAACAAATTTGCCAAGGGTACTTTTGTCCTAACATGTCTATAATTATGTCTCTTGGTTACCGTGACGAAAATAATAAACCTCACGTAAAGGAACAGAGGGAGTATACGGTGTATTTGTTTTTTCATATAATTCCACAACATGAGGTGCATTTCTTCTAATTCCTCACAATTCCGGTTTTAGCCCTCTAGAAAAAGAAAAGTATATCTCTCCTGATTGACTGTGTCTCTCCATATAGAGAAAAAAAGTAAAGTATCTCTCTCCCGGTTATGTATATCTATTTCTTTCCTAGCCTAAAAGATTTTACTTGTTGCTAATTAACGGATTAGCCAAGGGTAGTTTCATTCTAAATTATCTATAATTATATGCCTTGGTCACGGGGCCGAAAATAATACACGTTATATAAAGAAATGGAGAAAGTACTAGTAGTAGTAATTACTAGTGCAATTAAGTATTCGAGGCCCTCCTCTAGGGGCATGGCGGTCGTCTTTCTTCCTCAGCCTAGATGTTACCATAAATGCGTAGTAGTATGGTGCAACTTGTTACTATCATATAGGTTTTGAAATCTCCTAACTGCTTAGATGAATCGACGTCTCGTACAAATGATGTAGCTCATTAACATAATACTTAAACTTCACTCTAAATCTACCATATACTTTGATAAAGAACTTGGAGTACAGAGTGAAGTTTAAGTTTTCTCAAGATACTCCAATTCATTGTTTTAAAAGCAATTATGCCATTTGAATCCCCGCAACGTTGTAATATGTTTTCTGCTTAAACCAAGGATTTATTCGGATGGCAGGTATTTTCCTAGGGTCATTTTTTGGTTGATTTGAATCTATGAGTACTTATGCGGACATCGATTTGGATAATGAAGTTTGGGTCCTCAACAAGAGCACATACTTTTTTCGGCGAGAATGTGTACTTATGTAAAGACACAATGGACATTCTAAGATGCACCCTAATTTCGTATCTTAAGATATAGTAGAAATTTTTTGGGTGTATCTAGCGTTTATCTAAATGAGACTTAACCAAATCACACCTAACTCCTATTGCACCACTTGATTTTCATAAAGATTCATGCAGGTTTATTATTATTATTATTTTGTTTTTTGTTTTATTACTCGAATGATGTTTAGAAGTTAGATACGAGTTTGTTATTTCTCATCTAGATGAGATTTGGCAAATCCGAAAATTTTAATACATGACATGTCGGTTTTCTTTTCATGTGCATTTCAATCAGGTTTAGTTACTTGATCATCATTCTTCTAGTCCCTAAAATTTATAATTATTATAATCAAATGTGACCCTAAAACCACATAATAAAATATGAAGTTGTGCGAACTAAGGATACCTCAGATGGGTAGCTTATTTATGGTGGAACCAATCCACGGCTCAAGTTTTAGACTTGGCCTCACATTCTTTTTAGATTTATTTCAGTCTTTCCGATTATGTTCATTTCGTGTGAGGAGGCATTCCTGTCGACTACGAAGGTGTTTATGGTGACTACATTAATCTTAAGATGTTATGCCGACTTACAATCTAAGAGTGCTGATAGAAATAGCGTGTGCATGTCTTTATAGGGATAAGTTTATGTGCGTGTACATAGGCATCTGCGTTTGTACCATGTTAGAAAAGAATATGAAAGTTGTTTGGTTGCACTGCACCACGGAAAAAGGAGATAGTCGTTTCAACATATTGATTTGCTATATGCCATGTTTGTGAATAAATTCGATTTGGACTAATCCAAAAAGTTTATTCGGTAAATATTTTCATATTCAAATCTAACGAGTTCTGTACGAAACATGTTGAATATTTTTTTTCTTGAAATTCAAATAAAAGAGATCTAAGGTGTATTGCTTTTTTTTTGACGCAAGTGCTCATATACACGCCATGCACTCACCCCTATGAAAGCGCACACACACATCCTACACCTCCGAAAAACTAACCCAAAATAACATCTTGAAATTTACGAAGTCACCGTAGGCACTATATCTGGACGCTCAGCTCGAGCTTTTGGGCTCGGCCCGAGTTTGCGTCGGCTCGGAGCAAGTCAGGCTCGGCCCGCAACACAAAAAGGCCGAGCCGAGCTGCACAATCTAGCTCGTTTCACCTCAAGCCGAGACAGGCTCGACTCAGGCTGACTCGCGAGCCCAAAGCTCGCACGGCAGAGCAGCCCAGCGCAGCCTTTAGCAAGTTAGCAAGCAGCCCAGCACGCTGTCTCACGCAGCCCATAGCCAGCACGCTGCCTTGGCCCAGTGATGCACATCTCTACGCCCGCACGGTACGAGAAAGAGAGAGAGAGACGCTGTAGCAGCCTCCTAGGGTTTCCTCGCCACCGCCAGCAGCATGCCGGACGCCGAGTCGCCGATGCCGGCTCGCCGCTCGTCCGCCCTTCCTCCTTCACCTCGTCGACCACTTGCTCGCTCCCCTCATCATCGCGGCCGTGCTTTGGACCTTCTTCACGGTGCCCGCGTACGTCCACGAGGAGCGCCGTCGACGTCTTCCTCGCTTGCTGTCGGCGACCTCGCCGCCCGTCTTCTTCTCGGCGCACGCATGTGTCCACGAGGAGCGTCGTGCAACAACCCAGCTTCATCAGAGCGCTGCCACCATCTTCCTCCCCTCCCGTCGGTGACCACCCATGTGGAGGCCCACATGGCAGTGACTTGAGCACGCAGGCTTGGCGAGCCTGCCAAGCTGCACCGAGCTAGGGCAAAGCCCGGGCCGAGCTCCGTTTTGAGGCTCGTCGGAGCATTGAGCTCGGCTTGACTCGGCCCAAGGAACGGCGAGCTTTGGGTAGGCTCGGCCCGAGCCGGCTCGAGTTGGCTCGCGTCCAGGTATAGTGGGCACCTCGACGTAGACGAGAGCGTCTCCTCTCATTGAATGCGCCTCGCCGGAAATCCTGAAATAAATGCGAGCATCAGGATTTGAATCCTGATGGGCTAGGATACCACAATCCCTCTAACCATCCAATCACATGTTGATTCGCAAGGTGTATTGTTGTTACGAATAATATCTCTATCTTGTACGAGGAAGCTCAAGTTACGCTATTTTCTCTTTGTTTAAGTAGTACTGGAAGATACTTTTCTGTTTCAGAAAATCCTTACTCTTTTGCAAAAAGGAAAAAAGCAACGACTCACTAGTCCTTAGTCCGATTTTTCTTGTTCCTCTTCCTCCTTCCTTTATAAGGACCGGGGGACCGGGTGCCTCCCTATTTCTCCTTCAGCTCTCCTTTGTTCGCCTTCCTCCATCTTCAACCCAAAAACAATGGCCGTCTCCCGCCTCAACCCCGTAGCCTCGCCTTACCTTCCGATGACACTCGCTTCCACGTGGTGCTACCCCTCTCCTTTCTCCTACCCGCCGTCTCCGCCCCCACTCCCGCCGGCGCACGGGTGGCCTTTTGCCTACGGCGGCGACTGGTGCCACACAGTGGGGATGCCCTCGTTCCCGCTGCAGACAGCATATGGGTACCCCGCTCCATTGATGGTGTATTGCTGCACGGCGCCGCCACCGCCACCGCAATCGGCGACCCGTTGTCGAATCACGGAGATCATCGAGGATGGAGGCGAGGTAGCCTCGAAGGAAGAGGTAAGGTACGAGCGTTCCCCGCGCTCCGTCCTCACTCCTTGGAGCAGAGAGCCGCCCACTTCGCCCCTGCTACCGCGAGCGCCGCTTCTGCGTCCCCCGCCGCGTACGTCTTCCGCGGGACCGCGCCGCCTCCAGTGGCCACGCCTCGCCTTCAACCCCAAAGAGAACAACACGTCCCTGATGATTCGCAATATTCCCAATAAATTTATGTATGTAATACTAGTTGTTTGCCCTCTTTGTTTGATCGATCTCATGTCACCTAGCTAGTTCATGCTCGATATTTTTGGGTCTTCTGCTTAAAGATTGACTTCATGTGGGACATTGCAGGAAGAGGAGATTCATGGCCATCCTCGACCAGCACTGCGCCGAGGAGAACGCCAAGCTCGGCCGCGACGGCGAAGGGGTCAGGTCCGAGTACGACTTCCTCTACGTCCCCGTCGACTTCCGGTATGATTGCTAGCGGTTTCCCCTCCCGAGAGTTACTTTCCATACAATTAATGCTACCTTTTCCTACTCTTTGAATCCAATCCGTGTGCACCGTTTTGATGAGGTTTATTGTCCTTTGCACAGGACGAGGTTCAACAAGGGCTACGCCTTCGTGAACATGACAACGGCGGCGGCGGCGCGGCGGCTCCACGCGCACCTCAACGGCCACCGCTGGGAGGCCGCGGGCTCCAAGAAGGTGTGCGACGTCGTGCACGCGCGCCTGGAGGTACGCGCCTAGTTACTGCTCGCTCTGGCTCGTCGGTTCAATCTCCCCGTCGCGTGCTGCGCGCTAATTAATGTCCGCCATCATCATGTAATTGGATTGGGATTCGTAATTCGTATCGCATGCAGGGGCTGGACGGGCTCGTGGCGCACTTCTCGGCGTCGTGGTTCCCCTGCGGCGGCCGCAAGGATTTCCTGCCGGTGCGCTTCGAGCCGCCGCGCGACGGCGTACGTTGGACGGCGGAGCACGTGGTCGGCCACCTCCAGCCTCCCCGCTCCTGCTGATGGAAGCGCTCGTCGGCGGCCGCCGGCCAGCGGGCCTGGGTAAACTATCAGTCAATCTTTCTTGCATTCTATCCTCGTCCATGCCATGGATGGATAGAACGGGAGATAGATTATATCGCCTCATCATTCCATGTGTTCTACAAAGTGTCGTCCCTCCTGGTTTAGTCAGTCACTAGAATCTGGTAGAACTAGTAGTAGCAGAAGTGTCTAGTCCGTGTCCTAGAATCTCCTTGTTGTATGACATGCCGGTGCGCGGCACCTCTGAACTGATGGCCTCTCGCCAGGAAATTTTAATCTCTGTTGTTGTATTACGTGTGCAAATTTCCAGCGAATCAAAGAGGTCCTAAATGCATAGTATGCGTCTTCGTGTTATATGCAGGTCCCATGAGTTGATAATAATTTAAAATTGAAATGCTTATACAGAAGAAGAATCAATTATATCCGTGCCCCGTGCTTCAGAACCAAAATATTCAGTTGAGCAAGCATGCTAATCACCGTGACAGCCTCTTCTCAAATTTCTTGTTCAAGATTTATACTATGCATGATTGGTGTAGTTTTGGGGGAGAATACATTTCTGTCGGGTACATTTTATTTGGATGGAAACCATTTTTTTAAGCAATGCCTAGTTCGGCCCAAGATGCTGTTTAATTTTCGGCCAAAACTGGTCACAATTTTGAAATTTTGATAGAGCTGTTCAGTTTAATACTTTTGTTTTTCAAGAGAAGGCCTCATGGCACTTTTACTTAATCTCTGGTAAAGTTACATCCACAAGTACATGCGATAATAAGAAGCTGGGAGGCTTCGTCTTCCCATTCAATCCGATTTAGAGTCATGACAATATCTAGCAAGAAAGTGTGCCAAACAATTCGCTTCCCCAGGACAGTTCGAGTTCAAAATTTACTAATGCATGACTGGATATTAGTTTTGGGGAGAAAGCGCTTTTGTTGTTTTGGGGCTTTCTTTTATCTAGAATGGAAGCATGTTTGAGTGGTTTATTTTTTTTTGCCGAAACTAATCACCTTTCAAAAACTTTAATAGAGTTGTTCGGCCATGCACAAAGAATGTGTTTGTTTGCCTGCATCCAGCACAAACAGAGCTAGACAAAAATGTCTGGTGGGGCCAAAATACAAAAAATATCTGTAGTAAGCAACTGCCACTGAGGGAACAAATTTATAATATGTATACTCCAATTCAATCAACCACTAACTAACTGAGAGAAAATTGTAGTGCTATCACCAAAAAAAATCTCAACTATATCAAATCACACAACGGAACAACAAAAGCAAAACCACTTTGACTCATACTGAGCAGTGTCGATGTACAGGCAAAGCCTTCGGTGTTAGAAAATTCAGACAAACTCTGCGAGATGAAGCGGCCGGCCCGCCAGAGTTCTAAGTTGTTAAGATTTTAGAATTGTGGGAAAATGCTGGACACCCAATACGGATGCGGCTATCTCTTATATATAGAGGTACACAACGTATACAAAATACAAATACATGACATATACAGAAGCTACTTATACATCTTGTCTAACACTCTTCTGTAATCCTAACTGTGGCCTGAAATACATAGCAAGTTAAGATTGCGCCTACAACCTTCAAAGTGCGGTGGGGGAAGTGGCTTCATTAAGATGTCAGCAAGTTGATCTTTGGAGATGAACTTGATATGAAGAAACTTCTGTGCAACATGTTCCCTCACAAAGTGATAGTCAACTTCGATGTGCTTGGTACGAGCATGGAAAACTGGATTAGATGAAAGATACGTCGCACCAATATTATCACACCAAAGAACTGGTGGCTGCTCTTGAGAGACTCCCAACTCCCTCAACCTCAACAGAGTCTGTACCCAAATGAGCTCGGACGTGGTATTGGCAACCGCCTTGTACTCTGCTTCAGTGCTACTCCAAGATATTGTGTCCTGCTTGCGCGCACTCCAGGTGATCAAGTTGCGTCCAAAGAAGACAACATAGCCCCCTGTTGATCCCCGATCATCCGGACTCCTAGCCCAATCTGCATCAGAGAACGCCGAGAGAGCACTCGAGGAGGTAGATCGAAGATGCAAACCATAGGAGACAGTATGAGAGAGATAACACATTATACGCTTAACAACTGACCAGTGTGAAGTCCGAGGAGCATGAAGATGCTGGTACACACGGTTGACCGCATAGGAGATGTCTGGTCGTGTGATAGTCAAGTACTACAAGCCACCAACAATACTGCGATACTCTGTAGCATCATCTGAAGGAAGCAAGGCACCATCCAAGGTTGATAACCGTTCAATCGCAGACATAGGGTGGTAGCATGCTTGCATTGCAACATACCGGCACGTTGCAGCAAATCCAAGGAATACTTATGCTGAGTGAGAGTCAGATCAGCAGGAGACCGTGAAACCTCCAGACCAAGAAAATAATGGAGAGCACCCAGATCCTTGACAGCAGAATGACCACTCAGAGCAGACAGCAGACGATCAACGGCAATCACTGAAGAGTTGATAAGAATAATGTCATCAACATAAACCAGCAGGTACATAGTAACCTCAGGACGACATGACATGAACATAGACGTGGCAGTAGTGGACGGAACAAATCTAAGACGACGAAGAATCGAGCCGAGTTGGCATGCCATGCATGAGGAGCCTGCTTAAGTCCATAAAGCGCCTTAACAAGACGACACAAATGACGTGGACGAGCAAGATCAACAAAGCCTGGAGGTTGCCGCATATAAACTTCTTCCTCCAAGATCTCATGGAGAAAAGCATTCTGAACATCAAGCTGACGCAGAGACCACCCTTTGGTAACTGCCAAGGACAGAAGCATACAAATAGTGGTTGGTTTGAAAATTGGACTGAATGTTCCCTCTAACCGCGTCTACATCTCACGTGATATGGTGTTTGATGAGAATGTTTTTTCCTTTTTCCGCACTTCTGGTACGGGTGCGGCTATCTCTTATACCATGTTAAGATTTTAGAATTGTGGGAAACTGCTCGACGCCTAATACGGGTGCGACTATCTCTTATATATAGAGGTACACAACATATACAAAATACAAATACATGACATGTACAGAAGATACTTATACATCTTGTCTAACACAAGTAGTCGACAACAATAGAAACCCGCGACCACCAGCCAGTGGCTTATACTGGGTGCGCCCTTGATCCCCCCAGGCGCTAGAGTCATCGCCACCGGCCCAAACGCGGAGCTCCTCCGATCCTAACCTCCTCGCCTTCTCGTCGGCAACGGCCGGATGATGTCGAGGGCTCAAGGCAGTCTATCGCGGCACCATCGGCTTGGTTGAGTGAAGCATGGCACTGAGAAGCAGTCGAGTTGGTGCGTGAAGAGGGCTTGGTCGTTGGTGCAAAAAGAGATCCAGTAGTTTAGGGTTGTGTTTGAGCTAGGTGGATGGCACTTACAAAATCAAATACACAAATTTGTATGGGTGGTGGCCGGCGGCAAGGGATGGCTCGCCGGCTGGCGGACATCGACGACCACTGGCCAGTATTAAAGAGCCAAAGATGACCTTCTCAGGCGTGCCTTTTGTTCCTCCTCACGACCTTAGTGCATGCAGATCAGAGGCAATCTTCTAATTGGCACCGGCATCGAGGTAGTGTGGCAGCTTGGTTCATAGATGGATTAGGTCAGCAGGCGAGCAGCCGTGCCCGAGCGGCGAGTGCGGTTGGGGAAAAAAGAGTCAAGCAGCGAGCCCCTAGCAGGTTCGTGCACAGGCGTGATAATGCCAAAGGCTTGTGGCCTTCTACGTGTATGTGCATGGGCACATGGCCCATCTAAAAGCAGCAGTGCA